GTTTGGCCAAGAAAAAATATCTCAAAAATAAATGCTCTGTACTGTAGGAACAACAGTCAGGAGGCTTTGTGTAGCAAAGGACAAAGAAGGAGGTGCCCACAGAAATTGCCCACATAGTAAGGATGAGTAAGACTGCTTGACTAAGTCCTGCCATCCCTGCATGGTTTTACTTGAGGCCATGTACTAGAGTCTGTGTTGGCTAGCATCTCTACTTGCACTCCACTTTCTATTAAGACTGCTATCAAGCTTCAGTGAACGGCTTTCAGCACAAAGGCGGCCGATATTAATTGTTGACAGAACGTGCTCCATCGGTGATGAAAACAGGGAGAGAACTGCAGAGTCAAAGTCTGCAGTGCTGGGAGGACAAATTAAAACACGCAACAGAAAAGTGGTCACACGGCCAGACTGATGGAACATTTCTGACTGACAAAGCAGAAACATTGTGCTGACAAGCACAGTGACAGACTGAAAGAATATTGAGGAACTTTCTGGCAAAGCAGTAGTCAAGAATAGCCACTTGTGCCAAGTGTCTTTCTCGGTCAAAGCAAAACTGTGATACTGATTTTGATAAAAACCTTGATGACAGTCAACACCATTGTCTGCCTGCAGATCTGTCATGGTGGCTAAGGTGATGCCTAAACACCTTTTGAAGTGTTTGAATGTGTGTGGGGTTTTTTGTGGTATGGTTTTTCTTTTTGTGCGCATGTAGCTGCTGACTGCTGTTGGGGTCAATGACCCAGCAGAAGAAACCCATAACATGGGCTTGTAATTTTCCACGGTTGCTTCATAAACAACATATATACAGCATCACATCTGAGAGTTTCATTATTAAACTATTGCGCTAAATATGTTCCACTGTCATGTTTAACAGTGATTAATAATTTAAATTTTTCTCCACCAGCATATAAACAGGAGGCATGTCCAGCAATGGAAATTGTCACTATTAAAACACTAGCCTAAAGTTCTTAACTGACAGTAGACCTGCAGTCTGTTACAAAGCTGCAGTTCTGAAGAGGCGACGGGCATGAAGATGGTTTTAAGAGCATTGTGATAATACAATAAAAATATCCAGTAGTGTGTGTACTTCATAGAAACTCTGTTGGTTCACAGCATTTCGGGCCTTGAGTTGGTTCTGATTTGCCACAAGAACACACAGACGTTCAAGCAACAGCTAAGAAGAAAAAAAAAAGCAGTGTACGCACTCTCACACATATGCAGACGCTCAAAAACACGCGCAAGTGTAGACATCTGAAGAAAAAGTTGCAGTGTAATTCTTAAATATTCAGTAAGACACTTAGTTTTAAAATAAAAAAAATTTGCAGGGGACAAAACAAACGAGAGGTGAGAAGCAGAAATATGCAAGAGATGAAAGACAAAATAGGAGCCAGCCTGTTAGGGATTAGCTGTGGCGGATTTTGCAGGATTAAAGCTGATGAAGTGTCCTGTGAGAGGGAATTATTGGGAATAATGGGATAACTGTTTCCTCACATGACATGCCAGTTCCCTTGTCTTCCCCATTTTTTTTTCCATTTTGGTTTTTCAGTTCGTTTTGGCTGCCTTAAGGACAAAGCGCACACTTTTGTGCATGTATGTGTGCATTTCATTATGAGCGAGCGAGCCCTTTCCCAGGGCCCTGACAGACACACACAGAGTTGATAAACAAAAAGATTCCATCCTGTAACATAGCCCTTCTTTTCAGTCATCATAACATTGCTATTAGGCCAAATAAGCGCATGTCAGCTGATCCATTCTAGTAATAAGAGCCCCATGAACTTTTTCCAATAACTAACACAGCAGGAGCTGTGGGTGTCAGGTGTGTGTACGTGGTAACATTTGCACCTGCGCTTCTTAAAAAGCTGCTGGTGGGGAAAACAAATTCCTGGTGGACTTAACACCAAAAGGAGAAGCAGGTGCACACTACACAGCAAGTAATAATATGCAGTAGTCTGCTGTGTCTATAGTATTTAGTGTGTTCTCCTTGTGACAGCGGGACACTGACAGCAGTGTGAATCTCAGGAGAAAGCTAAACTTCTTCCCCATCCAACATAAATGTTCAGTCATGAAACTTCCAGTACACACTGGTTTGTTGACACCCAAATTTCCCTCCCTGAATTTCAGCCTTATTGGTTTACTTTTTATCATTTTTTAAGCTGTGCGTCTAGTTATTCGAGGACATCGTAGAAGAAAAAATACTTTAAAAAATACGTCGATGATGACTTATGAAAGTGTAGAGGAGCAGGATTGTTATAAATAATATCAAGGGGATCGCAGATAACGAAAACAGGTTTGGACAAGCTTTTAGAATAGCACCCTTAATTAAGGGGAACACAGAGCAACAGAGAATGGAAAAAAAATATGTATACGTCGGTATTAAAAAAACTCCCTTTTTAACAACAACAAATAACAAACTAAATGTTAAATAGTAATGCTGGACAACATAAAGCATACGTCTGTGCAGGGAGTGTGAGGTGTGTGAAAGGACTGTGTGCCAAGCGAGGTAAAAATCAAATACATCAACGCACACAGACCCCATTGCTCTCCCATACACACTCCTTGAAGGTGCCCAGTGACATGCTTCCATTAGTCAGTTAAAAGTATGTAATACTCTCTACATAGCAGGTTAATATTACTGCACTTATCACCTTTGTAACTAGGTTGAAAGCCATTCTATCTTTAGAGGAGGCAGGTAGGACTGTTGTCGGGTGAGGCAGAAGATAATACTACTGTATCTTCTTGGTTAGAGGACACATGTGAGATTACAACGCTAATGGGGCAGAAGGGTGATGCAAAGGCTGTAGTGGCCCAGCGGTGTTTGAGCACCACACTGAGATGAAGGCTGGGGACTGGGAACCTGGCAGTGAGATGTGTCCATAATCACATGGTTTGGAGATTTCTGCAACTCATGTTCTCTTCCTGGCCACCTCCACGTCCTGGCACTCAACAGCTGACAGTGCTATGAGCATCTGCGCAGCGTAGTAGGTGGCCATGATGATGGCTCGCGAATGGGGCACCGGGAAGCAGAACTTGTTGACTGCAATGGTGAGGTCGGAGACCATGAAGAGCACGGCACCCAGGCAGGCAGACAACTTGGTCCAGGTCCACAGGTCATTCGCCAGCTGCAAACCTGCGATGGCCCTCCAGCCCATGAAACCGATTAGGGCGATGTAGACGGCCACCAAGTAGGTGAAGGGGCCAGAGAGGTAGGGGTACAGCAGGATATAGCACAGAAAGGATACAGCAGTGATCACCAGCCCAGCACGCACATTAATGGGCTTCATCCCAAAAGCAGAAGAGTAGAGTATATGGGTAATGGCAAACATCAGAAGGCCTGTAGAATATTAAATAATACATGAAACCATAATTAGGTTTTAATACAAGTTGTTTCCATTGAGTTTTATTTAGTCTTTCTAATGGTTCTGATTAATGTTTTCAATGGGCTCAAAAGGCCAAGAAGGAGGAGGAGTCAGGTGATAAAACCTGAACCAGGGGTTATGTCTGTTAATATTTGATGGCTGTTTACAACAGACTTTTTTTTTTTTTAAATGGACACACCTAGACATTTATTGTTATATGGTTGAATTACATCTGATGAGATAATTGTTAAAATGCAGAGCTTTTCCTCACCATGGACAAAGTAGCCCTGCTCCTGCCAGATGAGAAAGGCATCACCCAGAGCAGAAAAGATTAGGCCAGCCAAGATCTTGCGGGCACTGGAGTGAGCACAGAGAAAGGTGAAGCCATGAGCCAGCAAAAACACCCACAGGCAGAAGATGGGCAGGCATTTGATCAAGGCGCTGAACCAAGATGGGCTTGAGGTGGGCAGCCACAGGACAAAGTATACACAGGTCGCTTTGAAGAATGGCACCAATTTAGGGCCTTCACTCTTGACCTGAAAGTAAAATGAATAGTTACATTAATAACTGAAATATAGTTGCAAATACACGTGATGCT